CAGGATATGAGCATGTGGGCTCCCTCGATGCTGGAACTCTATGCGCAAAAGTAATCGACAACACGGTGCTTCCCGAAAGGATTGTGTGACTGTTTGGTGGAGAGTATACCCATCACGACGCGAACCAATTTGTGAAAATAAATGCAGCAAGTGACGGGATCCTCCGAAACCAGGAAAGCACGCTTGTATCCATCAAGTGTTTCAAAAATCTCGGTGAGCTCAATGTTGTCGCCGAGAGATTTGAACTCATCAGACAATCGGAACAAAATTTGAAGCAAATGTGGCCATCGGATCTCATTCGCACTGAGAGTCAAGAATGCTGTAGGTTTTCCGAGCTGACGAATCATCGCGAACAGATCCTTTTTCCTCGATGACCAATACTGCATCGAGTTGGGAATAGTTTTCATGAAGGCTTGATTTGTCTCCACCAAATGTTCCACGAATTGTCGATCTTCTATCATGGATCTAGTCAGCTGTGCTGTAGTCCGTAGGCAACGATACATATTCTGAATGCCATCACGAATCCGGAAACGGAGGATTTTCATTGCCATGAACAGCACATGCTGGGGGGTAACACCTCGTCGATCAGATCTTCTTATTTCTGACGTACACATAGTGTAAGATGTTGCTCGAACCCCGTCCTTGATTTTCCGTCCAACACCGAAGTATATCGCAGGGAACGAAAGCTCCTCTGCGAATGTGTCAAAAAGAATGCACTCGGGTGTTTTGTGCTGGCCTGGAGCGATATCTAAACAGAGATCCTCATTCCACAACATTGTTTGCTGTCGTAAATTGATCAGCTCTGATTCCGGAGCATCATCGGTGCGGATAGACTCAACATGATCGGATCCGTCATCCCGTGTTCCGCAATTCGGCAACGACTCATCAACAACTTCAGACCAATTTACCCTGATACCATAGTATTTGTACAAAGGCTGCTCAACTAGATATTCCAGCCAGGCCTTCACGGTGGACTTTTTGACGAAGCCACTCAGATAAGAGGATTTATGGATGATGCTTTTTTTAAATTGACGTTGAAAGAGTGATCGTCTTCCAATGATCGCGGTAAACTCTGTACCATCGTGTTGACATCAACTGGGACATTGATGACTTGACCGACAATACCGTAACAACCGTCACGACGCAAACGGCGTATTTGCATGTAAGGAATTCTCGGGGAGACAAGTCGCTCGCTTATGGGGTCTAGCTGAGGCAAGCCTGATGGTTTTGGTGGATACCTATAGCCATTCGTCACGCTCATCGGCGGAACTTTGTCGCGCCGAGATGTGCTGTAACATGAGGAACAGAGCCGAAATCGCGTGGTATCGTCCTCCGGGAAGTGAGTCGATAGGAAGGTCGCCATCGAAGAGGTGACCGTTTTCAGATCACGGAGGAACCAGAGGCGATCACAGACGTCGCATTTATGGCCGAATTCATTCTCCATAAAGATTTGCTTAAAACGGCCAGTCGCTCGAGACCACCCGATTTCGTACTCTGCACCTCGTGTAAAATCAGTAGCCTCGACGAGGTCCGTCTCACATACCTCTGGATCGAATGACATTGCGTCACTTTCTGTGATCGCCTCTGACTCGACATGATCCGTCCCCGTATGACTCGATCCTGGTGCGTGACGTTGTCGCGCCCGACATGACGCCGATCTCTCTGAGGAGGTTCGGGGTCTCTTACGGGAAGATTCTCCTCTTTCTGCGCGACGCTTCCGTTGCTGTAAACTACGAGTCTTCGGCCTCATGATGAGCATCCGATCGACATCGTTATTCGTAATCGCTCGAAATCGCACTCCGTTAGGTGTGGAAATCCTGCCCCGATCCCCATAGCCTCACCCCTTGAAACGCTTCTGCAGCCCTCATATTTTGGTACAAGCCTGATGCTCAAAGCGGTGCATTTGCGAGTTGCGATTGTGAGGAGAGAAGCGATAGGAACAGAGAGCCCGTCAGTGATCGCGATAGTCAATTCTTCTCTGACTACGCTTGTGTCGATCGGTCAGTACTCAGTACTTGAGTCGAAATCATCGATGCAACTGATGCGATTCATGCTTATCTACCGACGTTCATCGTACCAGCGTACTGCATCCACTGAATTTTATGGAAAACGGAAATTCATGCTCTCTTCCACACAGTTTCAAGGGGTGTTTTGATCGTGACGGGAATATATTAAGGAGCATTCTGATTTCCATGATTTCTAGCCACGATCGTCTCCCGTAAATTTGCGATCATTAGACATCAATTCCGTGGAAATCCGTCGAGTACTTGATGAGTTTTAGCCCCGTGAAATGTTACAAAAAACGCTGCATGATGACGAAGTTTTTCTCGAAATACCCCCAGCCTTTTGAAAGACGTTTTCACGTCAAAAGAGAAAAAAGCCCATCCTCACGTTGCTCCCGACCGCCGTCCGGGAAATCGGAACTCCGATCGCTCTGATTCGTAGGCTTTGCGGTATGATGACAGAGGTGCCCGGTTGTTGGCGGGCGCGACGGTGCATTCCTCGCTCGTTCGGAGAAGTCGCATTCCCCGATGACAACAAGCGGGCGAGGCTCTGTTGCGGAACGGCTCCTACCGCCAAACTATGAATCCGGCTCCGTCGCTCCGAGCCGTCAGGGTCCCGTCGTATCATTTCGACTCATTGGTCTTGACGTTAAAATTTTCTGCGTCACTTGTCCCTTGTGCGGGAGGAGAACGGAGCCGACAGTGGGGTGCTACGACGAAACGGAGGGAGGTAGGTAGGAAGGGAGCGGAGCCAGTCAAGTCAGCCGGCAGGAAACAGGAAGACGGCCTCGTCGCCGGAGGGGGGGGGGGGGCGAGCAGGAGGCGATCCGATTGAAGGTATTCTGCGGAGTTTGGAAAACTATCCTGGATCTCGCTTAGAATATGCAAATCGATCGTCGTCCCAGGAAAATCCTACGGTCTCGCATTCTCAAAAGGCTTCGATGATTCAAAGCACGACGTTTATGTTCGAGGTCCCATGATCAGTAGTCATCATCACGCTCATTATTATCAAGATCTTCTGTGGAGGCTTCCGGAGACTTTCACACGCGAAATGTCAAGATTTCCTTATGCCTTGACTGCCCCGATTGCTTTCTACGAAGGGTTTTCGTCGATTTTCTGCTCCTTTCTCCATGGTTGGCATCGGTCGATGGAGAGAGTCATCGGACTCGATCGGAATTGGGCGAATCGAAAATATATTGATCGTGCGATACCAATGCGGGAAAAACACCGTCGCTCGCGCAGCGGCGCGGCGGAGGTAGTTTTGAGAAATCTCTTAATTCGGTTAAATGAAATGGAACATCCCGAATGAGTGAGTCCCTCGCCCTAGGGACGTCCCTCCCCCCACCGCGTTTCGCTCCGGCTCGAACACACGTCTTTGCTATGGAGACGGGAAAGGAAAAGAGAAACGAGCGCAGCTAGGAACCAACTCGAATGGTGGGAACTCCTCTCTCGCTGACTCCGCGCACTGTGCCGCCGAAGAAAAAAGGGATTAATCACCCGAAACACATGGATGTTTGATTTTTATTAACAGCGGCGCCACCCACAAAAACCTGCACCGCCAAAGCCCAGGGCGCTAGCTCCCATTCTCCGGCGAATACATACATCTGGACGATTGCGAACGAATCTCAGTCAGTCAGCCAGCGAGTCGGTCGAAAGACAGCGGATGCCGCCGGATCGATTCGAGACGTACGATTCATTTGTCGAGTATTTCTCTTCCATTCACCATTGATCTCGACTATCATTTTGCTCGATATGCTGCCTTTCAGAACTGCTGCAGTTCTCCGAGAGAGCTGGAGCCACTCGTGGGAAGTTTCTACTGAGGGAGAAAGAATGGTCTGACGTTTCCGTCGGTGCGTCTGCGAATGCCATTCGCAGGACCGAGTTGGTTTCCTGTGGATTTTCTCGTCATTTCACCGAATATTAATGGCGTGCCACGGCGACTGGAATTTGTCACGGCGCAGAGAACAGCGACGGAAACATATTCTCGGGTCTTTAAAAGTTGCCTTGTAGTGAAATATATGTACGTATCCTTTCCTTTCGCTTCGACGCCGAGGCTCGTAGTTCTCGTCTTTCTTCACGCCAGTGTAGACTTCCCGGGGTCCGAGCGCAATTTCTCACGTGGCTCGTTCGACGCTTTATCTTATAATACTGTGCTTCCTATGGAGCGATCATTCCACGGGAGAGTGTGAGGTACAACTTCCAGCAAGAGTTTGATACGCTCTCATTTTCCCAGTAAGGCATGGCCGGATGAAAACGATGGCTATTTGAAGCGCAAGACCGATTCCTTTGCTCGACAGTCGATTGACGCAATCAATATCTCGATTCCTTTGCGTAACTGTTCGCACTGTAGGAACCCGGTGCGTGTGCATGGCCGTCTCGGGTGTTCGGTTTGTGTATTCGAAAGCGGGTCGTTGCAGGATACGTGTTCGACCCGAGGCGACGTGAGCACGGTTCACTGAGTGATAAGGTGTGCGTATGAAGATTGGCTTTCATCCTCCGGGGACCACTGTCCATCGACAGATGGATACGAACGCCAGAGTGGGATACGCCGCCGCCAGCACAAGCATCGTGTTTGTCAGTGGCCCATGTTACATATGAGCTAGCTGCTTAATCCGCAACTTTCTTGTTCCTCTCATGCACCGAAAAGCAACACAAGGAATTCCTGTCCCGCGACCAAAAAGTCGTCTCGCTTCCAAGCGGACGTAAATGTAATTAGAGCGTTTCCCGGATTCTGCGTCGCACGGACTGCTTGCGCCTGGTTAGTTTCTTCCTGAATGAGAGCCGCGGAAGCAACACAGTGTTCCGAAAGGTCATCCGACGGAACGGAGCACGACATATCCTCCTTCAAAATGACATGAGCCGGCGTCCTTTCTGAGGATCGGGTTTCGCCGCCGTGACGGTTACTGAGTTCAAAGTTTGTCGCCGGCACTCCACCCATGATGTGTGAGGGAAGGTTTTGCGAGAGTCTAGCAGAAGAGCGCCGCGCCGTCGAACGCTGTGGTGCGGGCAACCAGCCCGGGGGAGTCAGGGCTAGGGGCGAGCTCCGTCGACGGCGGCGCTCTGGGGGCAGGAGGGGGCGGGGATATGACTTCATTCAGGGACATTCATTGATTCGCATGTTTTATGGCTTTCCATTGAAAGATGTTGGCGGCCGCAAAAGTTATAAAATGAAAAGAAGGACTTTTGCATCACGCACGGAGCGGAGGACAAGCCTCGCCCCGTTTTGTGTAGCAGGCTTACTCTGTCGTCGTCGACACCCCACTTTCTCCACCGTACGCTTGCGCGCCCGCTTCCCTAGGCAAGGTTTTTTTTCCCGCGCGCCCTTGTATCCCACCCGTTCCTTCCCCGGAAGGAAGGGCGTTTACGCTCGTGCTAAAACATCCATATGACGCACGCCGGCAGGAGCCATGGGGACGACCCCGCCTCGCGCAGTTATTGCTTCGGCAGAGCAGCGAAAGCGAGCGGCCGCGTACGCAGGAAGACGCGAGCGAACGTCTTCTTTTCGGCGAGAAAGAAAAGAGCTTCCTCAGGCTTTTCCCGCCATTCAATCGCCGTTGACAACGCCGATCCGACTCGACTACGCCCCATCATCTAAGAGCGAGAGCCTTGGGCGAGCGCTATTCCATCATTGATTCATGGTAGCTCTGATGCGAGACTATAACCCCAGCGATTGTTCGGAGCTCCGACACAAAAGTTTCAGAGCGCCTCTTCCCCTATCCCGTCTGGAGCTTTCGGAGTCGAGGGGTACTGTCGACATTCTTCCGGATGCCTGCCATGACGGAAATCCTAACCCTCCCGGTCTCTTTCCAGGTGGTCGATACAGCGTCCTGCCCCACGGGGAACTGCATATCCGGCAGGCGACGATAGCCGACGGTTTCAAGAGTTATCGTTGTCGAACTCGCCATGCGTTAAGCGGAGAGACTCAATTGAGTGCCACCGCGGGCCGTCTCATAATCACTGACGCCCAGGGAGCTCATCCTCCTCGACTCTCCGACACCCTCACGTCGGTCCGAGCGGATGAGGGCTCAGCCGCAGAACTCACATGCGTCGCTCAGGCGTTTCCTACACCGGTATATCGGTAAGTCGAATAATTTGTAACTCCGGACCGAATTAACTTCGAACGTGTCAGGCTGCGTCGAGACGATTTCATGGGGCATGATGCTCATTGTCAGACCTCGGATCGGACGGTCTTCCCCGAGCCGTCGATTCAAACGTCTCTGATTTACGTTCTATCGACTTTCCCCTCAATTATTCAGCGGCCACGGGAGCCGTGGCGTCGAGCACGGTAGATTCCGAAGATATATGCTGCGAACGAGGCGTTCGCAGGCCCCGTAGGAGTGACTGTCTTTCAGATTAGAAAAGATGATGTCGTTAGCGACACGGAGCGTGACACAGCATGCGGGGTGACCAGGTGTTGGCGTTCTTTCATTGTAATAGACGCGAACAAGTCGAACGTTGTCACGCGATTCGGTCGCTCCCTCAGTCGACCTTACCCGCTGCTGAGCCGGCTGCTCTCCGAGCACCTCCGCATGAACGGGGGAGAGAGCTGTCCCGACTACACGAGGCCACGGCCGCAGCCGGAGCATTCTTTCTGGAATGAGGGATCTGTATCGGGAGGCAGGTCGCGAGCTCATGGGCCCGACGGATGCGAGGACGGCTGTCGGTCTTAGGGGCTCTCGGTCGAGTTCAGATGCACTGTTAGCGATGATCTATGGTGCGTCGTCATCAATGGCCTCTGAGCTGACTGAGTTCATAAAAAACCTTTTCGGTCCCATCAGCGGCTCGTTGTTAGCGCGCCAGCAACGTTGTCCCGGTTGCGTCGTGCTATGCCACCCACCGTTTCCGACGCCCTCGGCGATCTTCCTGTCTTGCCTTCATGTCTTGCCGTCCTCGGTGTTGCCACTGCCATCCTCGTTTGGATAACCCCTCGTACTTAACGTACGCGATGAGTATCTTAAGCTTGCTCGCCCAACGACCGACCAACCGAGCGAACGACCGGCGGGTCGGTCAGCCCGTCGGCAGAGCGGACAAGCCGAGTCGCTCGGGTCGGGCTCGCTGGCAGGCCAACCATTTTAAAATTCTGTATCCCTGAAACAAACTCACCCGACGACGTTCGACGAAGGAACATCCCTTCCGAGACCATTAGTCTGCCCTCTGTGGCACCCGGACAGCAGCATCGCCGCAACGACGCACGAGAACGAGAGGAGAGACGATTTCTCGCTTGGTTCTTTAACAACGACAGCTCTCTGAAATATTTTACGTTACGTCAGCTCACTTAGCTCCGATTGTTATCGATCCACGTCTTTCGGAGCCGAATGTGGAGTGAAGAGGAGATCGCTGCAGGATGTGAGAGCCGAGTCATTTGGTGAATGGGAGGGAATTCGATGAATAGTCGAAGTGCGCACCCAGAACGATGTTTTCGCGGGGCTACGGTCGCTGACGAGTGTCGAGAATCGGATTGGAACGAGACCCGGACGGGAAAACTACGACGTTTTTGGAAGTTACGTAGCGGCTGAGGGTGATTTCGCCATCTGAAACTCATGCATGTCGCTTCGAGGTCTTCCAATTGCGTTCGTTGTTGCTCTGCGGATCTCAACGCGAACAGGGACCTCAGAAGAAATATCAGAGATCCACACACGCAGGAGGAAGCCGGAAAGAACAAGACTAGAATCACGTAATTTGCGTAATTGCCGTAGCAAGAGGGAAGACGCGTCAAACCGAGTGTATATGCGCGTGTCTGCGAGTGTGTCTGTGCGAGTGAACGAACGAGCAAGCGACTGAGGATGTGTACGCGAGTAAGCTGGGCATCAATCCTGACAAGGCGGCGGCAGCGCTGGTGGTGGTCGCAAGGACGGCGCAAGAGGAAGCAGCACCACCAGCGTCGGCGATATTCGTGCTCCTTTCTTCTCCAGTGATCCGTCACCCCTTGAACGAATTACACCAAACGAACGCCCATTGCAATCATAGCCAGACCGAAGCGATGTTTCTCCTATTCTCCCTTATTCTCTCTCTTTTTTTTCGTAGCGCTGCCATCTTACTTTGTTTCTTACCCGCGACAATCAACGGTACGACTACTGTCCTCGTCTTCGGGTCTTACTACTATTAGGTCAGACACAAAACCCTCTCCGGGCGGTGGGATGCTCCCGCTACGGAGTTTTATTACTTCGTGTCACTCTGCTACCGAGCGTCATTCATTAGGAGTTCCTCAGTGCTCAGAATATCGTCCGACTCCGTCTGATTCCCTACAAGCGACCAATAGATGAGCACTGAATCGGCGAATTCAAGTCCCCGTGGCTTCTAGTTCCAAGTTCTGATTTTCACGGGAATCGATCTCTTGCACGCGGGGGGGGGGGGTAAGTGCCCGCTGCCAGCAAGCGGCTCGCCGCGGGGACTGTTCCGTATACGTAGCTCCGAGTGAAACCTTTCCCTCCCGGGAGGTGTTTTTCATTTCCGGTTTCTGAATCGCTGGCGACCAGTCCAGACCTTTCAGCCGGGGCCGCGAGTTCGCAGGCCGCCGCTCGTATCGTGACGGCCGTCTCGATGTCCCTCTACATGTGCTGCTTATCGTTGTAGCCCCTCTACTACTTCCTATTCGCATTTCAGTTGGTTTCGCAAAGACAACTTCCACCCGCTGACTGAGCAGCGAGTTCTCCAGGCTGACGGTTCGCTGTACTTTGTCAAGACCAAGATCCAGGACAGCGGGGTGTACGTGTGCGTCGTCAACAACACAGCGGGCGAACAGATTCTCGAGAGTACTCTCACCGTAACAGGTAGGTTGGATGGTTGCTCGCTTTCGTTCGTTTCCTCGCTCCGCTCATTCTGCGTGCTCGCCCTTGCGATCCTTCATTTGTCAACGGAAGCTGTCGACATTCTTCACAGCTTCGCCATGCTAGTATTTGCCGAAGCCTCTCTGATTTCTTCTCGCGAGCGACGCGGGAGGTGTCACCACGCGACACTTCAATCGAGGCAGCCAGGAAACGACTCACAACGAAAAGAAGAGGAAACATCCAGACGAAAGACCGAGAGAGAAGGGGGTGGGGGCTTCCCGAATCAATGAGAAAATCTCTGCGGAAAGCGAGTCGCACATTTAGTGAATGGGGTGGAAGGTAGAGCCGAGCGACTGAGCTGCTGTTTTTGGATCCCTTCACAATGACGGTCCAAGAAGCCCCTCAATGGGTCGCCGCGCCGGGGAAAGGGCAAGGCGGCAACGCTCCTATACCGAAAGTGTTCTGAGAATAAGTGGGAATAGGGCAGCTCCAAGAGAAGGGGATTTTTGTCGGAGTAGAAAAACGTAGCGGAACGCGCGAATGGGCGAGCAGGCGATTGGGGAACTGGATCAATAGATTTCGGAGGGGAAGTCACATACTCTGCACGCGCTAGTCTTTTCTCGTCGCGAGGGCCGTTCGCTTGCTTGCTTGCTCCCTCGCTCACCGCGACGTCATTCCGCCACGGCAGAGAACGTGACGAAACGCAGGCCCGATCGCTAGATCCGGTCGATAGGTGTTCACGAACTCGGAGCCTTGTTCGAGCGCAGGAAATTATCATAAATTTCATATCTGAGCGCTAAAGCAATTCCGTTCCACAGCGCCTCTACAAGCCCACATGACCCCGGAGCGAGTGCAGGTGGAGGCCGGTCGGAGCGCTACGCTCACTTGCAACGTTTCGGGATGGCCTGTTGATTCCATCGTTTGGCTGAGGGACCAGAGGCCGCTGCATCCACTGCAGGGCATGGAATCATCATCGTCCAAGTACCAACTGATATCTCCTCACGTTCTCCATATCCCATCGCTGAGTCGGAACGAGCGAGGCGTCTACCAATGCTACGCCAAGAATCAAAGAGATTCAGCTCAGGCCACCAGCGAAATCGTCCTCGGAGGTGAGCAACGAGCTCCAAACCACGAGAGCTCCACAATTATTCTCCGAAACGGAGGCCCGAGAACTCTACTCGGGATCGTTCATTATCGTCGAGAGAAGATCTCGATCGCCACCGAGTCGTCGATACCCTGAGCGTCGCGTTAATTTTTTCGACTGCGATCCAGATCTCGGGAGGATGAATCCTCAATGAATTCCTCCCTCGGTCCGTGGGCCCCAGGGAGCTCCATCCTGCCTCTGTTCCCGAAACGCGGACCGGGCCGCTGTCTGACCGAAAGTTCGCTGAACGCATGCCCGACTGGGTTTTCATTACAGAGATCCCACCGATGATCACGGACGCTTTCAAGGAACGCATCATAGATCCCGGTTCAAGTAGCCTCAGTCTGCACTGCATTGCGTCAGGGACTCCGCTTCCTCAGGTTACTTGGACCCTCGATGGCCTGCCCGTCCACGACAATGAACGTGTGCGGACAGGAGATTACGTTCGGCGGGGCGGCGACGTAGTTTCTCATGTAAACATCACAGATGTTCGCGTCTCTGATGGAGGCTACTATGCATGCATAGCACGCAGCGACGTCGGTGAAAAGGTGCACGAAGCTCGTATCAACATCAGAGGTCCTCCCACCGTGCGCAGGATGGAGGACAGGTACATCATAGCCGGAGAAACGGTGCGCATCCAGTGTCCGTATTCGGGATATCCCATCTCGGATATCTTCTGGGAGAAGGGTAAGCAGACGAAGTAAACAAGAGTTCCGTACCCTCTCACGATCGGCATCGAATCGGGCTCGATACAATAATTATTATTGCCGAGGGAGAGACGGTTATGTATGTGGGAGAACGCGCAGGAGGACCACGCTCCATTGAATTGACCGGAGCGGAACTCCTCTCTGTATCTTGCAGACGGGCGCAGACTTCCCACGAATCGCCGACAACACGTCTTCCCCAACGGAACGTTGGTGTTGACGACTTCTGTCAAAAACGAAGATGAAGGACTGTACCGGTGCACGGCTCGCAACAAAGACGGCACTGCAGACTCGGGAACTCTTCGAGTCAAAGTTCAAGGTGAGAACGTTCTCGACGAGCCTGCTCGGCGACCTCGATGATGTGAACGCGTCATCGAGGGAATCAGAAGTTCTGGAGGTTGAGAAAAAATAGATCGTCGCCGAGAGAGGCGGATAAGGATAAAGGAGTCCAGGACAAGCGAATCGGTATTGATAAAGCACGTGGAGAGGGTGTGGCTCATTCGTTTCTCGGCGAGGACGACGGCCCGCCGACGCCGGAACGACGTAAAATAGAGAGGAATCGGCAGAGAGATAAGGCCAAAAGGTTCTCGGTGCAGTGTCGCCGCACCGGCGCATAGTAGACGGTGGAACATGAGATGTGAAAGTTGTCGAACGAGAAAGAATAACGCCTGACAGGGAAATTGCACTCGGGCCGCCTCGGTCGTCGTCTGCTCTTCTCGACCGTGCGTGATTTACGGCAGTTCATTTCTTTTTCTACTAGACATTCCCTTCTAGCGCTCAACGGGTTCGTGTTTCAATTTTCCTACTTCTCCCCCGTCTGAAAACGCAGCGAGCGGAGTATCGTGCTGTTCTCGTCATGCTTGTTTTTGCCGGTCAGAGAAGTTTCGCTGTTTTTCCCAATGCATTGTTCTCTCACACGCAGCTAGCACGGGCTCGATTATTGCCCGGCTCGCCGGGACTCATTCGAGATTCGAGTCGGGGTTACTTTTTCTTCTGGGAGGAAAATAAGGTTTCTCCTTGAATAATCTATCATCTCTCAGCTCATAGTATTTGCCTTCATCAAAACCCGACAAATGTTTGATGCGAGTATTGAAAAGAGTAACAAGACAAGATGGGGAAGAACTTGTACTGGAGAGATGGAGGAAACTCGGAAGCACTACTTTGGAAAATTATTAGGCTTGCTCGCTCGCCGGTCCCCGCTCGGATGACTGCCCCAGGCGTCTCGTAATAAGGGAAGGAAGGAGAGCAAAGCAAACTTTGAAGCCGCTAGCACGACCGACAAGCAGCCGGATAGATCGACAGACAGACGGACGGACCGTCTCGGCGAGCGAGCGGGCGGAGGACGAACGCTCGAGCCTCGCCCTTGAGTCGCAATCGCCAAGGAGCGCGTGATGAGAACGGCTCCCAATCCCGAACGTCGCGAGGAGAAAACCAAGATGGATAGGAAGCATGGTGGCGACTTGGAAGTTTTTTCCACGCCTGCTCAGGGAAGAAATGCGGAATTAGTCTTGCTCTTATCTTATGGGGAGCTACTCGCCATCACCGGCTGAAGGGTCTGGAGTCCCGGATAACCGGAAGGAACGAGAAACCTTCGAACCCCAGGCGTAGGAATAGAGAGAAAACCCAGGGCAGGGATTTCTTACTTAGACGGGAGGACGACGCCTCGCCGAGAGAATTTTAGCCTGACTTACTCGGCGAAATTCGATCCGATGATTCGTCCAGTCGAGGAGGAAATTCGAATCGAGGATAAGATTTCAGTCAATCATTCAGACAAGCAGTCAAGTCAGTCGGTCGGTCGGTCCGTCTCCTTCGCAGTCGAACAGACTGAAATACCATTTTGCTTCCGATGTACTCGCTCGTCCGAGGATCAGGGGAACGCTGCTATCAGCTTCCCAAATGTTCCGTTTGCTTCATCTGTTTCAAATCTGCTGTTTCCAAATCCCCTCGCGGTTTATCTCGTTCCTCCCGGGCTCCTCGGTCGCGGCAGCAGCCGCCGTCGCGGCTGTGTGCCTCCGGCGCCCGTGTCTCCTCTCACCCTAGACAAGCGCCCACCCACTCACTGCTTCACCCACCTCAGTCAACACGATTCCATCGGTCGGCCCCGAAATACCGGGTTCCATCGTTTCGGGTTTTTTGCCTCATTCTCCACCCATTTTCCCTTGTTCTCCTCCGTGAAATAGATTCGCCGTTTTGTTCTACTCCGGTGAACACCAGTCAGGGTGCGGAGATACGCCGGGAATCTATGCACAGATTCGATTCCTCTCTTGTGTCGTCGATTCTCGCAACGACGAAAAATTATACGTCCGGTCCGAGTGGCTCTGACCTCGCTCGCTGCGACCTCAATTTTTTTTCCGTGTCCTCTTTTCAGTGAAACCGGTTCTACAGCCGTTTGCCTTCCCCAAGGTCATTCAGGAAGGTATGAAAGTGGTTGTTACGTGTTCGGTGGCGGACGGAGATGCCCCATTCGAAGTTACATGGCTTAGGAACGGAAGGGCCCTACCAGAAGACTCGGTGCGAGTGCAGAAGTACACTGATGACTTTGCCACGCTGACCATCGAGAAAGCTTCGCCAAGGCACAATGGCGATTACACGTGCACTGCACGTAACGCCTTCGCTCAGGTCAACTACACATCCACGTTAACGGTCCACGGTGAGTATATCCGTACGCTCCATGTATACAGACTCTTTCAGAAGGGCATGCGACCGTGCGACAACGGCTGGCTACGGTTGGTCGAGTAATCGCATGGATTCGTTTGATTAAATTCGAGGCTCGACCACGATTAGGTGGTACTGCGCCGAGATGAGAGGCTGCAGCCATTGGCGATTCCAAAGGAACTCTTGATCGTGAGCGTATAAATTCGTTGGCTGAGAATCAGACGTGGCCAGCGGTGCATCCCTTTCTGAGTGAGCGAGCGAGGACCGCCGCGCGGTCATAGAGGACGCGGTCTTTGAAAAGCGGAGATGAAAAAGAATTATATGGGTCAAGTCCTTCGAAGGAGTCGAAGGGAGACGGTCTCCCGAAAAGTCACGTTTGGATTCGGCAAACGGGAAAGAGACGCTCTCCCGACAGAGTTTTCCACCAAGGCCGGATAGGGAAGGCGACCGATCATTCGGCTCTCTGCCTATTTCTTTTCCGGAGCCACGAACGAGGGTCGCGGGGCCCGCGACGTTCCAGGGCGGTCTCGGTCCATACCTCGCAGCGCAGAGAATCATCCGATGCGGGAGCCGGCGAATCGCCTCGCCGATCTGGAATATATGTACTACATCGACTTTATTTGCTCTATTCCGAGGCTTGCGAGAACCCCGAATGAACGGATAATAACCCAGTCGACCCCGATTGCGGGAATCCTCGTATGTCAGGAGAGTTTTTGACACCTCTGGCAAAAAACTGATATCTCTCCATTTTCCCGCTAGTTCCACCGCGCTGGTCAATCGAGCCCAAGGATACAGATGTTGTCGTGGGTCGTTCAGCGACGCTCGACTGCCAAGCTGAAGGATATCCCCACCCGCAGCTGCGATGGGAAAAAGGCTCAGGTGAGTGTCTGTGATTCTGACGCATTCAACAATATTCCCATTGATGGTCATCTCTCGGAGGAGCGATTCCGAATCGTCCAGTCCCGATGTATTCCGAACGATACAAGTTCGTCTTTCTGGACCAATCCGAGCTGAGGATGAAATTATCATACCCACTATCCAGGCGCGTGCCCAGGATTTTTTTGCGGGGGGCAGGGCCATCGTCTCGGTAGGGGCAAACCACCGATGATGATGAGCCTCAACATGGAACTCTTTTGGCCAGAAAGAGATCTTGAGGGGGGCCATGACCCCTTCCCCCTCCCCTCTGGGCACACCACTGCCACTATCCCGAACGATCGATGGCGAACGTCTTTGGGCGTCGATCGATTCTAGGGGTTCCCCCACTCCGCAACAAGGCTCGAAATTCATGCGATGACACGGTGATACGCTCGGCGGAGGAACAAATGGATGGAATAATGAAGTGGAGGAGCAACGACGCAAGTTAGCCTGATAAGAGACCATTACTCACCAGCATAGTCTTTTCTTTTTCCTTTCTGAAGACCGCCAACGGTCGCACGTCAACTGGTGGTCGATTGGGTCGACTGTTTTGAGATTGATCGGTATTATGACTTTTATAGCGTCCGGAGGTTCGTTTGTCCCGTCGGGAACCTGTTTCTCTCGTCGCCGAAACATCTTTCGGATGCGCATGGTCTCGCGTTTCGACTGCCCGGTTCCCGTTTTGGCGCGGAATGTTCCAACTGTCATGCTAGTGACGATCGGATATCGAGCACGAGACTCGTTCAAAACCTCCGTTCCAAACTCTCGACCCGATCTCCGGGGGCCTGTAGGACGGCCCTGACTCGAGCGCTCGTTAGGGAAAACTAGACTCTCCAACAGGACTCCATTCCGAACTGCATGCTCACGTCCGCACAATTATTGTAGCTCAGTCGGAGAAGCTAAACGGCGATTTAATCGATCTGACAAAGCGAACGGTGTCCGCGTGAACAGGTCGGCCGTGCCGCACGCGTCCGTGCTTCAGTTTCCGAAGCAGACCGCTTATCTCGAATATTCCGCGATTATCGCTGCTAACAGTCCAACAGAAGGGAGGCAGCTCTCGGACCATCGAAGTCCCCGATAAGCTCGGACGGGATTTTCGACCTATAAACGTCGCTCCGTGAGATTCGAAGCCCAGATCCGATCATCACATTCCACGATTAAGTGTGCGTGACGCCCGAAAAGTTCATATCGTCCATGAGTTCTGTGTCATTGATCCACACGAATACTGAATCCCGCATCGCACGCGGTTCTTAGCTTCTCCGATACAAGGTTGACGTCTGAAAGCTGCAGAATGCCGAAAGAGTTGCAAAATTCGTATATGAAAAGTCGACCGACAGACTCAATATTCTCAGACGAGGATCCTCGGAGGCGTCGGGCAGGCAGGCGAACGAGCTGCGAAGGAATGAGAAGCGAAGGCGGACGGGCTCAGGCGTGCGAGCCTAGCGGCCGAGCCACTCTCTGGAATTCGTGGCGTCAGCATGTTCGATCGTAAGGGGAGATCGATCTGGCCGGCTCTGTGTTCACCTTATATTTATCCGAGTTGGGCGAGAAGCCTTTTCGGTCGCTCTCCTCCACCTGCCCTCCGCCGTGCTTGACTGCGTCAGGCTAACGGATCGCTAGGCTAGCAATGCAGCGGGCGGGCGTTCGGGCGAGCGAACAGATGGAACGGAAGAAAAGATGCCAATACCGACTTGAGTACGGCATCCATCCATGGCCACAAGTATACATACATTAAAGGCGCTTCTTATTGCAGGCCAAGGCAACTACGATCCCGTGACCACAAGTTACCACTATCAAATTTATGAGAACGGCTCGCTCACCATCCAAGACGTCACTAAATCGGATGCCGGTTTCTACCTGTGCCAGGCGACGAACGACGTCGGGCCGGGACTCAGTTCCGTCATCTCGCTCAATGTCCATGGTAATGGGCCGTGCCTCACTTGACTCCGCTCCCTTTCTATGTACCTAAATGAACTCTGAATCCTGAGCCGTGCCGACGACGGACGCGTAATTCCGAATGACCAACTTTTCAGTTGCGCCTGAATTCAAAACGAAGTTCCACACGAACATGGTCAGGAAAGATGAAGACGTCAAATTGACCTGTGAGGTCAAAGGAGACCAACCTATCCAGATTCAATGGCACAAGGACAAATTACCGTTGTTAGGCTTGGCTTCCAGTGAAACTGGCATGTCCACCAAAGTACGCGATGTCCCTATAGCAGAGGGCACCAAATCGGAGTTGACGTTGAGTCGTGTCGGCAGGAAGGATTCCGCGTTATACTCCTGCGTCGCAACAAATAAATATGGCACCGACGATACGAACATACAGCTCATTGTGCAGGGTAAGTAATTCGCGAACGGATCTCAGGTCCGTAACGGCTCCCAGGAGCTTGGCACCGAGTATTCGTCGGTCAGAGTATCGCTGGAATAATAATGAAATTCATTTCAAGAACCACCCGATCCGCCGCGAGCTGTTAGGATAAGCGAGGCTGCGTCGAGACACGTCAGGTTGACGTGGGAACCTCCGTTCAGCGGCAATAGTCTCATCACTCAATACCGTATCCAAATACTTGAGACTGCTCGTAAGTTCAACATCAAGTTATACATCCCTCGAAAGCGTTCCCTTGAATCCGATTTTGAATGGCTCTGTCCGGAGATGTCTCCGATTTCCTGACAAAATCGTAAGGACCGCGGATCGTTTGGTCGAGGGATTAGCATCCTCGCCGAAACCTTCTCCAGTCTCTGCTCTGGCGGGAGTGGAAAAGGATCGTTGAGTTCGATCGGGAGCTGCCCAGTCCGAGGATGGAGCCTGAGCGGGCTCAAAGTCGCCTCTCGGAAGTAGAATATACAGGATGCCGGAACGATTTCCGGCGAACGCGAGCTCACTTGCGGTCGCCTTTCCCGCGCTGCGGGTAGCGTGGGCCGATGGAAGGAGAGCTCCCTTCTGAACAACGATCCGAGGGTACTTGCGCAAGTGTTCTCAAATCGTCATCCTTCCAGGAGGGGCAGGAACTCGTGGGAGCTCCCCGCACAACGTCACAGTGACGTCTTCGGAGACGGCGATTCAAATAAAAAATCTCAGGCCTTCTTCCTCTTACGACCTAGTTGTGATCGCCGAAAACGGTGTAGGAGAATCTCAACCGAGCGTCAAAGTTCCCTTCCAAACCGAGGGTGAAGGTGAGTACCGTAGGCGTGCAATATTTATTTACCTAAGCATTAGAAAGCTGCTCGTCTCGACGTCAAGATGTAGCATCCGCCGACTCAGTCACCTGTCTGAGTGAGCAGACGGCTCCTAATGAGCATCCGAGATCATTTTGTCCCGAACTCAATCCTGTCATCGATTCTTTTTTGCTTGAACGAGTTTCGCGACGCGTTCTATTGGATGCCGCATCCATTCGGTCGGTCGGCTCGGCTTCCCGAGCGACCGACCGACCGCCCGTCCGGTCGGGCAAGCGAGTCGGCTGGTGTTTGGCAAGTGTCCAGTAATGCAGTCGCTGGTGCGCTTTTTCCTTTGGTTGCGCGCCCATTCCTATTGAGATGGCCACAACACCGAGATTTGACCGTGGTCGTCGCCACCGCGACTCTCTCCGCTCCGTCTTCTCTGCGTCCGCTACTCGATCCAACTCACGACCATATAATAAATTCCTCGCTTTCGTTCTGGTGCGGGAACGAAACAGGGAAAGTTAGAATCGCGGAACTGCCGCCGTCGGTGGTAGAATCCTTTATGGTAAAGGTCCACCGATGGACCTACCGGTCCGTGACCGAAAATGATCTGACTCAACGCTGGAACTTTCGGAAGGAAATCCCCCGTCCGGATCGTCGATGACCTTCCGACGAGAGCGCCGAATCCCTTAAATAGTCGGACGTTCAATCCTCCAACAACGGAGCCATTGTTCATTGAACGCCGAGCTTCACATCATCGACGGCGAGCAGCGATGGATGGACCTCCTCTGGCTGCTCAAACCCGTCGGCCGGAACTCTCTGATCGAAGTTCAAAATGAACCGGGAGAATGTTTGCTCGAAAGCTCGTCCGGCATTCCCCCTCGTCCCGATCAGAGCTGGCTGCGTTTTCCATGACGGGATCCACGGGACTAATTTAGAAACGCAGGTGCAACAATGAATCGCCCCGCCAATCAATCATGGGAATAACATTAGCGCCGAAACCGAATGCAGCTCCGCTCGCCACCGGTTACAGTGCTTTCGATCCCTCGTTCGGTCTTCATAGCATCAATAGGTAGCAACGAACGAGAAATAGTATATACATACGTTATTCTGCTCATGGATTGATTCTGTTGATCCAGCCGACCGAGTTGCTCGAGAGTCGATCGTAGCCGGAAACGAAGATCCTCGGATCCAGCTGGAAACAAGCGCTGCTATGAGAGTCTTCCCACTCGTTGAATGAGAGTTTTCAAAGGTTGTGTAGAGTCCGAGGCGGAGCGAGCGGTCCATGACAAAGAAAGCGGAAGACAGAGTAGAGGGACGGCGATAAGGATCATGGTGGCATGAGCATAGCAGCGGGACGAGCGGCCGAGCACACAAAGTGTTGACCCTCGTCCATCATGTGCGGTAGAATTATTATTACTCGACCGTAGTCGAGTCGTCGAGCGGCAGAGCCCGGTGTCGTCGATGAAAATTAATAGATTGATTGATCGTTGTTGAGTCATCACCAAGTCATTGAGATTCACGATGTGCGCGCCGATCATGTCGACGCCGATCGATGCAAGTCGGCCTTACGGGGGGTCCCCATCGGATCGAAGGGCAGGCTCGAAGGTCGCGCGAAAAAGATCACGAGAGCGAGGGGAGGGGGCCGGAGGAATGGGGGCGCGAGCGAGAAGAAAGGGAGCTCGAACGACCTAGATTCATATCTGGTTGGCGTTTGTCGCAGTCGTCAGGTCGACCTCGGTCCTCGCTGCGACCCCCTCCCTCCCTCTGATCGGACGAACGAGGTATCCGGATTTTTCCACTGTCTCTCGCATGCGTCCACCGTACCTCCGTCCGGATGATTCATCTCTCGTTCTGAATGCGTGGCGTACTGCTCGAAGTGAAGATGACGGCTCCGTCGTCGACGGGAAGTAATCAAAATCTACTTAACGTTATGCGGTGTCGAGATCATCACTTAGCCTGTCTCATCATAGATCCATTAGTTTCAATGGCCAATCTGCACAGGCAGACGCAGAGCGAGCTGGTCGTTCCTTCGGTGGGCAAAGCGACCGAGCGACCAGTTAGCCAAGCAGGCTGCAGGCACCGAAGAGACCATGAATCATGACCTTGTCAACGTGCTTGTCGTCAAGGTCGAACACCCTCGTACGTCTTGGCTCTGCTTGGTGGACGATCATTTTCCTATATCAGGGGCCGTCCGACATATATAACAGCGCGGATGGACGTTATGTTTGGACGTCACACGCTGCTCGCTCAATCATCACCGGAGGCAAGAGGCCAGTGTCGGAGCCACTTTTCGACAGGGCAGATGCGGAGGGAAATTTCCCTTTCGGGAGCAGCAATCCCGAAAGCCGGGATTGAGATGCGAGCAATTGGACTACGACGAGATCCTCCGAGGTCTGCACTCAAACTCCGGACTCGAGGCAAAAAGTTCTTCGACGGCCGCCGAGACTTCCTTAGAGCAAGAGCAAGTTTCTTGTCCTGAATTCCTGGCATTCCGCAGCTTAAACTCTTAAATAAGGCTCAGCTTTCAACACTCAACTCCACTCCGATGGCCTTCGCTCTTCCGCGACGCGGCTTGCGTCGTTCCGCTACGCTCCTGGCGTGCGAGCGAGGAAACGCTGAGAGGAGGAGGAAGAGGTGTCATGTTTCTGGAGCGAAGACATCGTTGCGTCTTCTGCGCTGGCCATAGCGTCCAAGTCAATGATTCACTCGTGTCTTCGAACGCTGTTCGATGCTAATTCCCATCGACCTTTGGAAGCTTTCTGCTCCGAGCCCCGGAACCGTAGGACCGACCCCATCGGCCGCATTGATATTCGGTCCACCAGGTCGGCACGCCAGTGAGGCAGCCGGTATCCTGCCAAGCTGCCTGCTCGCTAGCTTGCCAGGATAGCGGCGATATATGCTGGAATACGGTGGGGCGACTGGCTTTTCATTAGCATTGATATGAACGCGTAGCCGTGTCACGAGGGCGGCTGGAGAGGGGCGCAAGTAATTGTATGTATGTAGTTTATGTATCGCACACTGTTCCGGATCTATATATCAGATACCGATAGAATAAATTTCGGGCATTTTGCACCTAGAATCTAGATCCATTCTACCAACCACATTCGCATGATCGCTCCCAGGATAGTGGAAATCAGAATTCCTCGGAACGTCTGAGTAGGAGATATTCTCCCGCAGCTCTCGGGTCGAATCCCTCTTGAGGGAGCTTCCCTCGGGTACGAGCGAGTCGTGAAATGGGAACGATTAGGGAATTATCGGCATCGCTTGTCTTGTCCATAAGTTTCGGCGTTCGAAAATTAGAATGCATGGGGTCGCTCCCCGCAGAAGACAATGGAGCTAAAAGACCTATCTCTATTTTCCAGTCCCCGAGGGTCCACCGGAACAGATCAACGTGGAAGCTACCTCATCGACGTCCTTACGGGTTTCTTGGATGGTGAGTACTTCTATCGCTACGGCTACCGTCGGAGCACTTCCTTCTCTTATTGAGGACGTTCTTCCTGCGTGGAAGCGTGAGCCGCTGGAAGCAGACTCGTTGTTCGGCTGTGGAGATTGTCGAAGCACATCCACGGAAAGAAAAACGGCTGACAGACCGAACCGAGGAACGCGCCGACGGATGGACGGACGACGAACAGGTCTGCATGGAGAAAGCGAGAGCAGCGGAGTCCCCTGTGACTCGGACCCGTCAGCGGCTTCTCAGTCAGCCAGCCAGCCAGCCAGCCAGCCAGCCAGCCAGCCAGCTAGCGAGTCAGTCGGTTAGTCTGTCCGTCGGTCGTCCGTCTGTCCGTGCGTCGTCCGTCCGTCCGTCGCTTCGTTCTTACATTCGTTGGTTCGGTCGTCGTCGTTGTCGTCGTCGTTTTCAGGAGTAGCCTCAAAAGCCGGGATAGTTATAGCTGAGAAACATCTGGATTCGCTTTTGTGCGGGAACTCTCAGCCGTGGCGGCGAAATTTGATTGTGTATGTGAAGCTTGCGAAAAGCGGCGAAACTGCGCCATGTCATTAGACACGGAAAGCTTCTGCTCGCTGCTCTCGAGGACTTTTCCGAGAGACTTTCGCTACATGGCTGTTTCAGTGAGCGTTCGCTCCAATGCCATGTTCTGTTTGTCTGACCGCCTGCCTGCCTGCCTGAGAAGTTAGTTGGATGATATCACCCTTGCGCAGTCGACAAAGAGATTGGCAAGCAGGCAACGCTTATTATATAGTGGACATGTTCTTGTTGTTTTCTGTGGATGATTGACGAACGGAGCGACTGACAAGCAAACGGTCAGCGACGATACAGTGGGCCGTCATCGGAAAAAACAACAAGCCCCAAGCCATGTCCAGTCGTTTGTCATCCAATGAGAACAACAAATGCCGACTCGCAACTCATGATCATGATGATGATAGGGAGGCGATCTCGATGACGCTGAAGATATGGCGGAAACTTATTTCGCCCTCTTTATCTTCCTCTCTTCGGCTCAATCGAACACAAGTCGGCCCGCACTCGTGCGATTCCGCCTCACGATTGTTGGAGATTGACACAGGCCGTATCGATCAGCGTCGGCTGCGGCGGGACCCGTTGATAATCATCTTCAGACGACGGCTTAGTTGCGAGCCGCCCGCTTTCTCGCGAGCCGTTCGCTAGCGGACTTCCATCTTCGCTTGAGGCGGACTCGTTCCCCCCATCTTTTCCATGTCACGCGATCCGCCTTCCTCGCCTCTCGCCCACTTCACCCATGAGTTCAGTTATGAGAGATTAATTCGAAGAAGTGCTCATGATGGAAACTGCTAGGTACTTTACAATTGTTCGGAGTTCCCTCTCCGTCCTCGGAGCACGTCAAACGGACTTTCTCAAATACGGATTACGACGCGTCCGCTGCCGTAGCGGAGCGTTTCATACCTCCGTCGTTCACTCGATTTTTTTGCATCGGGACGTCTAACCGATGATCTTTCGCATTCCAGCCCCCTCCACCGCATATGCAGAACGGGGAAATCCTCGGTTATTATGTCGGTTATAATGCCTCGGGCGAGAAGATTCAATATAAAACTGTCGGCTCGTCAAACCAGCCGCGGGTCGAGACTGAACTGAAAGCTCTGCGAAAATGGACGAGGTATTCCGTCAGCGTTCAAGCCTACAATAAGAAGGGTCCCGGTCCCCGCTCGGACCCGATTACGAAGGCAACCATGGAGGACGGTAAGTGGCAAGTGACCAACTGGTCGACCGACGAGCGAGCAGCAAACCTGCCAGCCCGTCAGCTATGTAGCTGGGCGGCTACCTGGCCGAGCAAACCGAGGTAGTAGGATACGTCCGGACGTTGGCCCGACGTCCCGCTAACTGAGTTTATGACGCCGGCGCCGCTTTTAGACAAGCGAGCCAGCCAGCAAGCCAGCGGGAAAGCGGTCCGGCAGGGTGCCGGACAAAATTGCTTCCACTCCTTGTTGCTAATAACGACGTCGTCTCTCTCTCCCTCTCTCCACTCCTGCTCGTCCACTCCCGAAAACAGTACCGAGTCGGCCCCCGAGGAAAGTTGTCTGTGAAGCAAAATCTTCCTCCAAGATCAAGGTCACCTGGACGCCGCCCACGCATAATTCACTACACGGGCATTTGGAGGGATTCAAGGTCCGTTACAGGAAGACAGAATCTTTCGAAGACGGTGAGTACCGCCGACAAAGGCTCGAAGTACACCGTTTGCCTCTCTCTCTCTCCGAGGGAAGCTCCGTCCTATTCTCATCACTCGCTTGATTATTTTTGGAGAGGTGGACTTTCCTCGGAAATATCGGTGCTCAATAGACGCTTCGGTTCTTCCCGGTTCGACCTATCGTGCAGAGGACGACGAGCCCGTACTGGAAGCTATCATCAAATCCGCCGACCAGCAAGAGTACGTTCTCGACAGTTTGGGCAAGTTCGCCAACTATTCAATACAAGTGCTCGCGCGAACACGTAAAGGCGACGGGATCGAAAGCGATCCCGTCTTCTGCAGGACGCTGGAAGACGGTGAGTATCCCACACAACCCAAAATAATCCGGCGTAGAAGTCGCCCGTTGTCTGTTGGCTACGTATCTGCCTCGTTTGCCGCCTGTCGTATCGATAGATCCGCTATCGAGGGCGGCCAGGGGTAGAGGGGAAAGAGTGAAGCAAGTATCGCTGCTCGTCCGGGGGCGAGTGCGAATTTCGGCAGCTCCATGGGCTTTGCATCAATTCACTTATTTTCTCTCTTCAGTTCCCGGTCCTCCCGGAGACATCAAGGCATTGCCTTACCGGAAGCAAGCAATCCTGGTGAGCTGGAAACTCCCAGAGGAGTGCAACGGAGTCATCACCACCTACACACTCTACCAGCGAACCGTAGGCGATAAACCGAACAGTCACGTGAGTGTTTCGCCCGAACGGCGTTGCTTTGACAAATCGGAAGAATATCAATCAGGCATAGCTCGGCGAGGTGACCCGAGTCCAGGGAGTCTTTCTGTTCACTCAGTCAGCCACCATCAGATGGGAAAACATGCGTGCGGAGACGGCGACGTTGTGTCCGATGCTTTGCTACAAATGCACGGGTTAGATTGAATTCTCACTGATGTTTACGAGGCAGCGGAAGGAGCAAACAGAGCGGTTTTTGCGTCAAGAGAGCGGCGGATAATTATTTCTTCTGGACCGAGCGGCTCGTCGTCTTCTCGCTGTGTTTTACCTAGCTCCTTGCCGGAGTCGACCGGTACGACAGGCTTAAGAGAGTCGATTCCGGGGCTGAGGGAAGGGGTGAACGGCTCAGGATAACGACGTGGAGGGGAAAACGAACTGGAGAGGAGCGGGAACACGGGATCAAACGGAAGAGCGAGCGAGCGAACGAACGAACGGAGCGCCCGGCAGGGGGACTGTGGAAAGGCACCTAATTTACACCGGGTCAGGGCGATGCAGCGGGGAGCAGCGACGTGAAGAGAGTTAGTTAATTAGGACTGTTTTCATCGTAGTGCTTACGAAGCCTTGTATACATAGGTATACAGCGATGCGCCTCTAGCCACGAGCTATTTAAGAATTCGCGTTCTTTCTCTCTTCAGAACATGAGCAAACACCAGATTGCGGCTTCGCAGCATCAGTTCGAAGCGACCGGTCTCGAACTCAATCGGAGGTACGAGTTTTGGGTTAGCGCGTCAACCCGGATCGGTGAAGGAGAGTCCACGCGAGTCATGTCGCAATCTACGAGCGATACAAGTAGGTTCCCATGAAAAGCTCGAGAAACGTCCCACATTCGCCCCTCCCAATAAACACCCGAGCGCGGTCCGCTGGATGATCCGATGTCATTAGACGGCGTCACGAATCTGTTTGATTATCGCGACGAGTCGCTCCCGACGCGTCGAGAATGCACTCTTCCATTGAACCAGTGTATCTATTAGGAATGGACAGGACGATAGTTAGAGGGAATGCTGGAGTTCGAGCTTTGGAAAACATGTCAGTGCATGTGTAGTGCATTGCTGGAATTCCTGAGTGCCAAGTGGAAACGCAGAGAAACGAGACCGTGCCAGTAAATGAACAAACGAGTGAGCGAACGAGTCGCATAGAACGCTCGCTCCGAGCGTCGGAGACAGAAGCTAATCAGCATACCGCAATTGTATGGAAGTGTTGTTCCGCCGACGCTGCTGGCGATGGCTGGCGGAAGCCGCTGGCCTGTTGCGACCGCTGCCGCCTAAGGTGTTCCTGCTGCTGCTGCTGCTGCTGACGATGAGGATGTTGATTTGATTGTTGTTGTTGTGTTGATTCCAGTTCCCGCTCGGATCGCGTCGTTCTCCGACAGAGTCTTCCTGGCCAAAGGCAGCTCGATGACATTGAATTGTGTCAGCATCGGAGTGCCCCCGGGCTCTAACAAGTGGCTCTTCCGAGGAGAGAAGCTTGACAAGAACAAAAACAAATTCGCAGTACTCGGCAACGGCTCGGTCGTGCTCAGCGACGTCGGCGACGAGCACACGGGAAATTACACCTGCCGGGTCGAGAACAGGCACGGAACCGATGAGATCAATTACCAGGTTCAGATCAAAGGTGAGCTAGCCCTCGAGCTTTACAGTAATAGTATTTCCCTCTGGATATTTCGACAATATTGGGAAGCCGGGAATATTCCCCCGGTCTAGGATTAACTCTTGTGGGATTCGAATCACTTCCCGCTCCTTGTTCTCCATCATGGGGGAATCATTTGTTGCTCTTTCCTGCCACGGGGTGAAGCGGCTAAACTTCGCGGATCTGTTGCTACCTCGAAAGCGTTTGATCCGCCAGCCCGTGGCTGATGTTATCGAATGTCGTTTGCGAAAATCATGAAGCTCAAGTTTGAAGGCTGCGTTTCCCGACAGCCGATACAGCCGGCTGGGGAGATAAGCGGAGCGGAGGAGAATGGAGTAAATAATGAAGGGTTAAAGTACGCTTTGCATGCAAAGCCCACCAGCGGACCTATGAGTGATTCTCGTGAGCAAGCCGGCGGACGAGCTTAGCCGAGTTCTCGAGAGAAGCAAACGCCTCAGACATGCGTCCGAGGGCCGGACCGAGTCTTTCAGAAGGAAGCGGGCAACCGCAGCAAGAGGGAATCTCCCGCCTCCGGAGCAGACAGAAACGATGCACGCCATCCTTACGACTGAAAAGCAGCGAGCCGCTTTCCGATTCACTCGGCGCCGCTGCTGCCCGTCGTGCCGCCGCTGCTGCTGCTGCTATCAAAACGGAGCACGTTAACTCGAGTAGCGGCTTCTATTAATCGTAGCATTAAGAGTTTGTTTCTCCGTCTCTTTCATTAACGAAGAGCCGGCTGACTGGCGTACGGACCGACGGAAATGAGCAAGCGGCCAGGCCACACCGAAGAGGGCGATGGCTGGGCGGATAGATGGATGAATAAATGATGAAAAGAATGCGTGTGCATGGATGAAGGAATCAACGAATGAATGATCAGACAAACATATGAGTGGACTGCCGAATGCGCGAGAGCTCCACATTGTTCTCCCGTTCCTTTCCGCGGAACGATCTCTCTCTTCACAATGACGGGAACGTCGAATCTTGGCCGTGATAGCTCCGTGGCGAGGTTCTGCGGAATACGAGCGAATTTCCGCGATTTTTTGACATGGGGAATTTTTCCCGCGTCGAGCCCTAAAGTTTACATCGAGCATTCGATTCAAGCCAGGGAGGATGACAGGTGTGAGTCGGAAGTCTTAAGATCACATTCTTCCCGTGGAAACTTTCTTCGCCTCTCGAGCTTAAACGTCGAGATAAGTGATGGAGTTTCATACGCTTTTTAGCGATTGCTCCGCAGGATATGAGCGAAGGATTGTTTTTTGTGTAGCGACGAAAGCATATGTAAGCCTCGTGGCTTAGTGTCACCGGGATGCTGCACCCACACCCATCGTTCGAGCAGTCACGCCAGCGACGGCGGCGGCAGGATCTGTTGGCAGCAGCAGCAGCAGTTCCTCATCCCTCACACGGCAGCGGCGGCGGCAGCAGCGGGAGAGAATAAGTGTCTTCAGACAGAGTGCTTAGCTACGGACGAGCTTAAGGTTGAGCTTAGAACAGTCGAACGGAACGCCTCCCAACATCTTGGCGCTGGCAGTTAGACAGCGGGAGAGCAGAAAAAGGCGAAAACCGGGGCAGATGTCTGCCTCCTTCACGTGTTTGGCAAAGCCGGGCGGGAGAGAGTCACCAGTGGAGCGAGCGACTACGCTCCGAGCGACGCACCACGACGGGCGCCGCCGAGGATTTTAGGGGATCCGTCGAGGGCATGAGTGGCCGACTTCCCTTTTCCATCCGTCATCCTCAGACGAGCGAGGCGAAGACTTCTTTCACTTAGGGTACTTTTCCTTTTGGTTCCAGGCCTGCTTCCGGCACCCTCTGCCGTTTCCGTGGTGTCAGCATCCAACTCTGAGCTGCGGATTAGATGGGATCTACCACGAAAGTATATGAACGCCATGCACAGTGAGTGTACATATATCCCCTGTTTCCTCACCCGTTTCCCCGCCCGGCCCTCTGACAAGATCCCCTCCATATATCTTTCTCTATCCGTGTTCGAGTCGGGACAGCTCCTTCGCGGCCAGTTTTCCGTGGACATCTGCCGCGCGAAAAGCGTCGACGACACCTCGACCGGGTTTTTGGGGAACATCAACGGATCAGATTCTGATGCGTTCGTCACATGACTTGAGAAAGATCCTCGAACCTGGGAGACTTCCACGGGTTGTTGCGAACTCGGGGGATCTCCCCCCATCATATCGGTCGATCTCCGTTCCTTTGGCGGGTTTTCGCCGATATGTAGCGGAATGGTCAGCAATGAGTGCTTATGCGACACGATGAATCGGAAGTCATCATGGGCCGCCACAACGTCGAATGCTCACAACGCTGACTACAGCGCGACCGAGCCGCAGGCATGGGGGACGAACTCATGAGAGGCTTATTCCTCTCTCGCCCTCTGCTTCGAGCCATCCAGATAGTCGGGGCTTTGGTGTGCGTAGATGGCTGAGGTCGGCATTCTGGCTCCTTTTCAAGCAAAGCCGCATTGTAGTCGAAGTAGAATGATGTTGATGACGTCGACAACAACGACTGCAGCGACGAGAGCCAGATCGCTGAAGACGATGATGATGATGATGATATCGAAGACAACGATAAGAGACAAAGGGCTAGGCCGCTCACAAAGAGAGGACCAGATAAGGTTAAGCCGGTTGCAGCGACAATTGTGTTCTTTTCTCCTTCGTCTTGAACAGCGTCGGTGGCGGCGGCGGCGGCAGCAGGCTCTATTCGTCGTCATTTTCCTCTTTCCCCGAGCGACCGTTTGAGACCTCTCATCGTCGAGATACGATTAGCGCGGTCGTTCGTTGTTCTTTGTTTTTTTCTCTCGCGGCGGCGGCGGCTGAGAGCTGCTGGAGAAACGGGTTCGGAACCACGAGCGCAGACGCCACGACAGAGGTTGGATATCTCGAGGCAAGTTGCGTCGACGAGGAAAAGCCGAGAGGACCTTGGATATCTCGGAGTTTCACACGCAAAGACGCTCGAGCGGACCGATCAATTCCAAGATATCGGCATTTACTTATCGCGAAACAAGACGACAAACGATTCATCTGGGTCGTCGAGAGAATGGCACCAGCCGGGTCGCTGGTGGACGAGCGACCCGGTTCGAGAGAGCGAGACAAAGAAAACCAAAGCGCTAACCGAAAGGGAGGCACTCCACGAGATAAGTTGGTCCCAGTTTTCTAAGACGTACGCCTTTTGTGTGTTGCAGAGCTGATACTCCACTATCGACGGAAGTTCGGCGGCCAATGGGAAGAGGTTGAGGTTTCTCCTAAACAGGACTGGTACCTCCTTGAGGGTCTGCAATGTGGTACCAAATATCAGGTCTACCTCGTTGGGGTTCGAAGATCTGGCGCTCTAGGAGAGGCGAGCGATATCATTTCAGGACAAACGGAAGGTGAGTTCGCCTTCAGATTTCAGTTCGATTCCTTCTCCCAGAGAACAGCTCCCGGGGTGAAAGGGAATCGACCCAATACCGCAAGTTCTCGTCCTCAACCCGGGGATTTCCCGGGAAGGGGGTTCGTGCTTCCGAAATTCCCACACGGCAGTGACATAGAAGCGTGGGTTTCAATCCACAGGTGGGGTCCCATCCGCTCCTCTGCAAGAAGATTTCGCCACTCCGAACGTCAGCGCCATATCTCTTGACCTCGGTGCGTGGAGTGATGGCAACTGTCCCATGAGAGCCTATGTAATTAACTATCGACGACAGCAGGCGTCCAGCGAGAGAGGCGAATGGATACAAGTTCCCCACAGCCACGCTCAGGATCGCGTTGTGGTGAGTTGATCCCGCGTCGCTTGACTCGAGAAACGAAAAAATAAGGGGGAATCGAGACCCTCATCTTGTCGATGCGGAGTATCGCATGGGCAGGGTCGGACAGTGGGAGCGGTTTGAGCAGAGGGTCCGAGCCCGAATGAGTGTCGATCCGGCCGGCGCACGGAGAAATTCGATGCAGAGACGGATCACTCATCGAGAATACTTCCCAAATTTTCGCAGATTACGGGTTTGAATCCAGCCACTTGGTACGAGATCAAGGTCACAGCTTCCAACGATGCGGGCTCCCAAGTTCACATCTATGCCGTGGCTACTCGGACGATTCTTGGCGGAACGATCGCTCCGGCCTTGGCCAACAGTTATGATGACAACTACGCGACAAACTCAATTTTGGAAGAAGTTCAAATAGTGGTTCCAGTCATTGTTGCCGTGTTCGCTCTCACTGTCATTCTGACCATCAGTGGCTACGTGTGCATTCGTCGACGACAGTTGATGTTCCTCCAGCAAGGCCAACAGAGCCCACTGGGCAATGGTAGCGCTCTGTACGAGAGGACTCGAGCCCCGTCTTCGGGAGATACTCAAAAGAAATTCATCGAGTCGTGCGATACTCTGCTGAGCGGGAGCAGTCCTCGCCACATAAACAACTTCACGTCGACTTATCAGGTGCCAGCCAAACTGGCAACCCCTGTCCCAATGCAGTCTCAGCATTGCACACTTGTGAGGAATTCAGACACGAGAATACAGTGTAAGCTCCGCAAAAATACTTCGCTTGTAGACCCACGTCAAGTGACGACGACATGTGTACGCTCGGCTCCGCCGAGTGATCGTAGGCGGGATGAATCGCTCTCAAGCATAGCTCCCAGACTAGACATAGACCTAGAGGTTCGACCTCGTTCGAGTCCGTCATGTCAGTACCGAATTCGATGATTGCAGATTATGAAGATGACATTGTCGCGCCGTACGCGACCTTCCGTGTTGCCGGGAGTCAGGAGTCGGAGGTGTGCGCACGACGTGACAGCGCCATCGCGCAGACTATTGGAAACCACCAAAGTATGCAAATGAATCCGATCAACGTCCACAGTGGTCACCACACGCTGGGACACAACCATCGGAACGGACCGGCGTCAATCGGCGCTGGTGGATCCGAGAATCGGGAACGCCACGATTCAGCGCAGTACGAGCTCCTCGTTACTCACGTAATTAGTCGTTGAATAATTTCTTTTATCAGGATCACCTCTCGCTTGTAGATTCCCAGCTAGGCCGTTCGACGCCAACTCATTGAGATTTGTTTCTGAGTGCAGTCGAAGCGAGCGCGGGATTTTTCGAATTGTGCTCGATAATTTTCGTCGCATGGAATACTCACGTACAACGCGCTGCTTTATCCTGGAGCATGCTCCCTCATCATTAAAATCTCGGTTCCTCTCCTCCCGGCCGACTCCCGAACGCTGCTCTCCTGACGATTCAGTATGCGTCTCCGATCGAAGAATGCTTCGATTCCGTTATTTTTTCCCTTCAACTCCTTTCCCGAAGTGGGATGGAATGCCCAATGCTTGTCCGTCTCGTCTCGTGAGCACGTTATTCCTGGTGATGATAATGAATGCGAAATTCGAATATTTCTCGACGAGACAACGGACGAGCACGATATCCTTTGAACGAATGCTTTCTCCGGTGATTCCTGACTCTCGGCTCGATCTGAGCGCACCGATTCGTTTTCACCATGCTCATCATCGAGACTTTGTGACTGAGAATTATTAGTCGATCCCTCCACGGTCACTTATCGCCGCTTTTCTATTCGCAGACTATTCGACGAACTCCAAAATCAATACCAAGAGCTCTCTCCACGAAACAAGAGTGAGTAGGATGTCCTCACTTCTACGGCGGGCCGTGGAAAGTTCTATCGAAGGTCGAAAAGCAGCGAGAACAGAGATTTAGTAGGTGATTTGTATTCCGATGGAGCCCAGTTCTAATTTGCCGAAACGAAACAGTTTTAGTGTGTCAAACTTATGACCCAACGAACTGGATGAATTCGACCCCCTTCCGGACAACGAGGGCACAGAATCCACAGAGTTCTGAAGCAAGCGACGACACGTCGAGCGAGTGGTCGTCATCGGCAGCGAGCTCAGCTTACCGTCCGGGCGCGGGAGGAGCGGCGGGCGGGCCCGGCGCCGCGGGCGTATCGTCTCTCGAGCGCAAGAAGACACAAGCCAGGAGTCTCCCGTTGACGGCGAGTGCTTACGCCACTGTTGCGCGTCGAAGAGCCTCTCAGGAGCGTTGCAACCACCATCCGCGGTAAGTCAATTGCTCGTAGTGGCAATCTACTCGTTGTTCTTTGTTCTACTCTTACCTCCCGTCCTCCAGCTAAATAGTCCCCCAAGAGGCCAGCGGACTGTGTTTGTGCATCGACAGCAGCCACTTTGTGATTGGCCTATTACGTCTCTCTTGCCACCGTTCGCTTGCCGTCCGCCGCTTTCGCTCGTCGGTCAGAGCGCTTGTGGCTGGAGTGCGCGAAAAACTACAGCGTGCTCGGGGACGCTTACAAATGGCTCACGGTCCCTTCCGGCTCCGAGGAATAATGGGGTGAGGGAGGCATCTGCAGAATGGATACCCGCCTGAGATGGATACGATCTGGGTCGCTGTGGGAGAAAAAGGGACAGGGGGAGCGAACGGGTGGAAGGTGAACTGGGAGACGACCCGGAGCTCGGGCAAACGGGGAAACAACCGGCGTAGATGAGGACGTGCTCGGAATAGAGACCGAACTCTCCTAGGAGGTCCTACGCGGTTCACCGACGCTCGGGCTGGAGGCCAGCAGCAGCAGCAATGACCCCCCGGGTGCAGGTGGACGTGGAACGACTAAAGGTGCATTGCCGGGTCCAGCGGGCCTGCTTGCCTGCCGGCTGGCCGGCGCCAGTCTATCTGCCTACTAGGGTACGTCCGCGCATTCAATAACTAATCGAAACGTTCCAGGTGTGACGAGGGATCGCCTACGAGGCAGGCGACGTCCCCACGAGAAGAGCTCACCGTAATGCTCAACCAGAATACGTTGACCGGGAGTGCTTTCCGCACGCCGCAGCCTGCCGCGCGTACAAGTAAACAACAATTAATGGAATGGTAGATCAGTTGTTCTCACGACTTCGATCTGCGCAATAAGCTTGGAATTCGAGACTGTGGAAGCTCTGGGAGCTGCTCATTCATCTCCGGTCGATGTCGACCGCCAGTGCCTTCAGAGGGGGTCGAGTTTATCCGGCAAATGTGAATAAACTGTGCAAAGGAGGAGGAGAAGTTATTAGGTAATTATCGCAGCTTCGAGACTCCCGGGAAGGATGAAGCTCAGGTTTTAGGACGGAAACCACATATGCGATCAGCGGAAGAGAACCCGAGGAGTCCGGAGGGTGAAACAGGGAAAATTTCAGAACCTGACGTTTCCAAAGAAAATGACTGAAGGGGACGAAACAGACGACTGGGTCGTGGTGCGCAGCGTGAGAGACGACGATGTCGACGGCATGCTTTTGGTCGGTTACCCGAACTATATTCTGTCTTTCAATGCCGTCCCCAGGAAGCGCTCCTCTGAAAATCATTCAAATCAATAATCGAACTTGATAATATGAGAAAATTATTTTGGTTTTCACTCCCTTGAAGCTTCAGAGCCCCCCGTAGCTGGAAGCGAAGTTGCGACCCACCGTCTGGAAGCCTTGTGAATGTCTATGCGAATATCATATGGTAATTTGGGCATCCGTCATCGCTTCTCGATTGTAAAAACAAGCTCGAGTTTTATTGATATCGACGTCATTGGGCAGACAGGATGCGAATCACAACGGTAACGATGATGACGGATGGAAGGGCGAACCGCAGAACGATGAGCGGGCTCTATAAGCTACTTGAATAAATCAATTTCGATGGGGGTTCACTCGGTCTAACTGTTCACACGATAGTTTTCTGAGTGAGTGAGTGAACGTATGTTGCAATCTGTCAACACGGAGAGAAATCCTCGCAGAAACGGTCGGAGAAGGGAAAGAGAGGACTGTAAGCAGTCTCTTGTATCCCGATGACTGCCCTAGTCATAGCGCACTGCCAAGGCACGACCGGCCTGACCCAGATTCTGGAAGAATTCGTTACGTTGTCTGAGCGACCGAGAAGACGGCCGTCATTTTGTAATCGATTCGAAACCGAAGAGTCAGTGAGCGAAAAACTTCACATGGACCTGTAGATATCATGAACTCATTACAAGCGTCTAGTTCCATTTGGTGACTACGACTGAATGTTGAGCGTGTGAGAATATGGAAAATAAAGTTAAATATTTTTAAGGTCAAGAGAAACAATGCATTCTTTCAATGCGCAAGATTCCCGATACTCTGAGAGAGTTGCTCGAGACGAAGAAACAGCAAAGACAGGAGCATCCGATTTCAGCGGAAAAGGTTTCTCCATCCAGAAGCGTCAGGAATAATCGAACCCGACGACAAGGAGGTCGCTGAGACCTCACCAGAGCTGTGCGCCATGGGATAGGTGACACGCACATTCGAAAGTCCTCTAATCGCGGCTCCTAGCTTGTCGGGGAAGAAGTACCACGTGCGATCGTCGGATGAATTCAAGTTTAATTGATCAGTCAGGGCTCTCAACGACCTCGAACTACTCGATGGAGCTTCGGTCCGGAACGTCCCGTCTCCTTCGAATGCTATGTCCCCGCATTCTCGTGCGAGCTCAGTACCTCGAACCGAGTCTCCAATTTTTTCTCCGCGGCTTTCTGTTACTTCCCATGAGGATTGGGCACGGCGCGCCGGCGTTCTGTCACGCCGTCGGACGCCGTGCTCGGGTTCCGGCGGCGGACTCCAGAGGTCGGCGGCGGCGATCGCCGGCGGATTCGAGACGCGGCGCACAGCTCTGGACCTCCACCAATGTTTCTTCCCGATTCCATTCCGAGTAGAGAGTGTCGCTGACCAGAACACTGCGTCATCACGACTCAACTTCCTAAGAGGAGTTGGGGTCAGTGCAGAGTCGTGTTTAGAATTTGGTCAGGCGTTTCTATACTCGAAGCTTTACACTCGGCTGCTTAGCAACTTACCAACGTGAAACCAAAGTTGGGTCAACCGAGTGCACCTTCCTGCGGCGAGCTCTCAGTGCCACAGAGCAGCCTCGACCACAGCCCTCAACAACTCGCGAGCCAAAGTTTGGAGCTTCGCCTTCAAACGCTCGACTCGGTCGAGAGGATGACTCGGCTCGGTCTTCGTTGAGAGAAGTTCACTACGCTCTCACTGCGTGACTCAAATATCAAATGGAGACTATCGGATGCGGGTTGAGATCGTTTCCGCATCGCTCGTTGATAATCCCACTTCTCATTGAGTCACGGGTCTCATTGAATCGCAGTTCTCATGTCGGAATTTCGAAAGTAAGCGACGGAAGAAGCTACGGATGACGTTATGGGGAGTGAGGTATTCCGTGAGAGGCCACCCACATGAAATATAAGTCCTCGAGGTTCCATTCGATCGGGGGAGGAACCACCATGGGGAGCGAGGAGTTCGAAACGGGATCATATTGGAAGAGAACTCTTTGGTGGCCCTCGGACTCGCTCCTGCTCATTTTACGGGGATAATATGCACTCAAGAATCGAAAGCTGATCCGTGTTTACTTCTATCAGGCTAGTGGAGACCGCTTGAGAGGAACATGCCCACCTCGCAGCAAAAAATCCTTCCCTCCTAATTGTTAGCTCTGGTGCCGAGGGAGAGGCAGAATAATATGATTAGAAAGCCGAAAAGAGAGGAAAGAGACTGACTGAGTGAGTAGAGAAGAGGGTCCCGCCGCTGGAAAATCTGTTGTGCCGTAGAACGACTTTTTCCCGTCGAGCTCAAGTCGGACGTCGAGAAGAGCCATTCCGCTTCTCCCTTTTCAGATCCCGCCTCTCTGAAGAACTACTGTAGAATACCGCCCAGCGGAAGGGGAACTGAAGTGAGGAAGGTGGACCTCGGTGCTGGTGGCCTTCGTTAATTAACTCGACTCGAAGAGTAAGAGCTAAGAGAGCGAGTTATAAATGAGCGAGTTAAAGCCGCGCTGCCTCTGCTGCTGCCATAGGGGTCCTGCTGGCGTCACCATCGCGGGCGCGCGCCGCTACCGCGACTGACCGGTGTAGCCGGTCTTCGAGGCGGGAAAGCGAAGAATCGTAAAACGAAATTAAAATGCAAGAGGGTCTCAGAAGTAGGTGCCGCCAGACGGCAGAGAAGGCGGCCGTTCAGAGCCGACGGGAGCTCGGTCAAAGAAAGCGAGAACTTAAGGCCGACAACGACTCGATAAAAGGAAAACCATGGCGGGACACTTGAGAGGCAAGAAGTCCTCTCAATACGATGACTGTGTACTGGTCGGTTGGTTGGCAACGCCGCAGGAATGGACTTACCGCGAGGCATGTTAATACGGATTTTATTCCGTTTGAAGCCAAGAGTCAACCAAAAGAGACGACGCGACGCTTTTACGAGCGCTGGTTCCGCCAGCGTAGCAACCAGTCAGTCTCCTAGCAGCGTGCCGATGCGGGGACCGGCTTCCCGCTCCCCCACACCTAGTCTTCGCTTGCGCCAGACTTTTATAGGGGGAGTTGCTCGGCCAGAACCACAAAATTTTTCCACAGCTTCCACTAGCGTGACTGGAAAGCCTCGGGCGGTGTCGAGAAGAAAGAGGAGTCCCTAATGATGGAATTCAGCTCGAGAGAATACGAAAGCAGCGATTCTGATTCGTGCGGAGGACTCTGGAACGCCTGCGGATGTTTTCCAGGGCGGGATGAGGCACGTTTCCTTGATACCTGATGGCGTTCGGGACTCATTCCATCGGAAAAATTACCATGGGAACCCTAAGTGAAAAACTATTCCTTTTCGGGTGTTGGGACAAGCGGAACCGCAAGCCCTCTGTTCCGGCGATTGCAAGACGATCAAGCCCGCTCATAGATTTCCGCTTAGACACGCTCGAAACCGAGAGGATCAGAGCCTTATTGAGTAGATCTCGTGGGTGAGGGAAACCGTAGGAGGGGTCTGTGGCTACTGCGGGGATTGTGGCGGCGGTTGTTGTTATTCTACATCAATATGCAGTCGATACCGAGCTGGAGAATTCCTTATAGATTTGGAGTCTGATCTCTTTCGGATAGGGAGTTCCCGGGGACGAGATTCCACATGTCTCCTCTCATCCGCTTTGGGAAGCTTTGTTCCTCTCGGGACTCCGAGTTGCCTCTTCAGCGAAAGGACGAGGCGCCTTCCCCGACACTATCGTAGCTCTACGGGAGCATATCATCGTCGCCGAGGATTCGTAGAGATAAGTTCTCTCGTTCGCGGCCTTGATGATTGCACCCTTCCGCCAAGGAAGGGGGAGTGAAGAGTGAATACAAGGAAAACGCGCGACGTCCGCTCAGCTGTTCCTTAATAAGTTCCTCTCGCCGCTGCACTCGCCGCCGTTGATGCTTAGATTACATTCGTAACGAATATAAATAGTGCTTATTAGGGATATATTGTGTTATCACCGCGGAGTAATCTTCATTTGTCTTGCCCTTAATAATGGTAATAGATATCTCTTCGCAGGGTCTCGTCGCGCGCTTCTATAGTTGTAGCTGCCATGGCAGGGCTTGTGTCGGCGGTGGCGGCGCGGCGGCCGCAACGACGACGACCGGAGCACACAGCGAGCTCCGCAGGAGACGACACGGAGAGAGAAGAGTGCCGCGATACACAAAGTAGCCAGGAGACGGCGACGGTCGTATCGGAAAAGAGATACAAGAGTTCAAATCCCACAAACGCGAGAGAACACCGGAGTCTGCTCACTGAAAATCCAATAAATGCTCCAGAGCCATCACGACACCAGTTGTGACACCAGCAGCAGCAGCAAGAAAGGGAAGACCGCTATCGGAATTCAGATCGAGACTTATGCTTACGAATTCCGAAATAAATGTAGGCGTTGAGTGTGGCGCCGCAGAGCCCCGTCGTCTCTTTCGGACCGTTCCGAGAACAGCCAACTTGGCCTGCTCAGAGTGGAAGGCATGACCCTGTTGGGGCCGATTGCTCCAGGTCAATCAACATCCAATGGCCATCGACCTGAGATTTCCCAATCAGCCTACGCATTCTGGGGAACACGATTGAAAATCCTCGATGAGAT